TGCTACTTTTGTTTGGGTAAGGAGAACTGCAATGGTTTAGCTGACACATTAACAAAACAAGGGGTCTTCAGGCAGTAGATGTTTTGGGCATTATTGTAATTCTTTCCATCCAGGGCTTTGAATCATAGTCCACTATGTCTTTGGGTAGTTGGATAACCACTCTGCTGTGATTTCTGTTTCACATATTAATTCAAATTTTAAATTTTCTTACTGACAAAAAAAAGTAGGGTCATAGAGAGAGGGTTAAAAGGGGAAAATGTATGCATTCATTAACTCACATGATGAAGCACTAGTTTGGGTTGTAATAATTTCAGTCAGCCCTTCTTAGAGTCAAATCCGCCTAATAATAGACTACACATGCCCTGTGTGTCTGTGTCTGTGTCTGTCCATCTGCATGCATGTATGATCAATTGATCATCTTATCAGGACAAAAATGCTCTTCCTCCATAATTAGTCATCATCTTACCATTTATCAAAAACAAGTCAATCTCAAGACCAAGACAGGTTTTCAACCAAAAAAAAAAAAAATCCAGGTCAGGTATGGACACCTGATCACCACAGCAACCAAACTGAACTCCCTATGAATCCAATGTAAGCATGTCAATAAAGAACTTAGATTAGCTTTATATTCATTGAGGTAATGTGTCAACCTCCATGGACTCAAGGCCCTCTTGGGTCACTTAAGCGCATTAGTTGGGTCACCAAGACCAGTAAGGTGAGGAGGATGAATTCTTTTAGCAATCCTCAAAACCTATAATGAAACTAACCACATCAACCTTAGATGCACCTAATGAAGGATTAAATGCAAAGTTAAGTTTATGGACAAATACCTTAGAAACAATAAGTTTTAAAATAAGTAGGACTAAAACAGAATATATGCTATGCAAATTTAATAATAATAGGACTGCAAATCAAGGTACACTTAGGATTGGAGACCAAGAGATATCTCAATGTGAATTTTTCCAGTATCTTGGTTAGATAATTCATAATAAGGGAGAAATTGAGGAGGATGTATTGATCAAAAAGAAAAAAAAAAGAAATTGAGGAGGATGTTGCCCATAGAAGAGCATGATGGGCAAACTGGAGGGGTGCATCCACAGTCTTATGTAATAAGCAAATACCGCTTAGCTTAAAAAGAAAGTTCTATAAAATAGTTGTAAGGCCAGGTATGCTGTATGGAGCAGAGTGTTGGGCAGTTAAGAAACATGTCCAAAAAATGTGTAGCAAAAATGCATATGCTAAAATGGATGAATATAAAAACTTTTTTTTTTTTTGAGAAATGGTGGTATATATATTAACAATATAAAGAAAGAGATAAGCTGTTGAGGGAGAGATTTCCTCAAACAGCAATACAGAGAATAGCCAAAACACTACTTCTACAATACATAATTTTCATCCCATATTATCGAGTTCCATTGTTCTACAAAAACTTTAAAGTTGCATCCCTTGAATAGGCTGTTGATGGAAACCCATTTCAGCAGAGTTCTCTCCACCATTGCACATACTTTCTCAGGGGATTGGCCCTATCTTAAAAAATGCAGATGTTTCTTTCTTTCCATAGGCACCAACTAATCACCAATGGTAATGCTTTCCATAACACTATTCCTTTTTAGAAAAGGCCTGAGTTCGCCAATGA